AATAAAAAAAAAAAAAAAAAAAAAAAAAGAAAAAGAACACACTTCCGTACGTTTACCCCGTAAACTAAGTACTAAAGTACTTTCTCGTTTCGGTACATCAAAATTCATAATTCACACATCATTATGTATAAAAATCTAAATTTATTCAAAAATTCTAACTCTCTCTACTACTACTAAACGATCGATAAACCAATATCATAACCAAAATCACCTCAGATTCGAAACACCTCTAAACTTGAAATAATCCACACGAAACGAATTGAAATAAAAAGAAAAAAGAAAAGAAAAAAGAAGGGGAAACGGTACTCACTCGACGAAATGATGAACCTGGTTGCTGCTCGTCCTCTTGGCAGCTCTCGCCTCGACACTGGCGGCGGTGCGTACGATCAATTCTCTGCACTGCTTCTGAAGATCCCTTAGTTCCGTTTCCGCGTCCTCGACACGTTTCAGAAGCTCGACCAGGGCCTCGCTTCCGGGCGCCAGCTGACTCTCCAAGCTGCGCGTCAATCGTCGAAGGGCGGCCAATCTTCTCTCCCGCTCGCTCAACTCTTGCTCGCTTCCGCTGTCGGAGATCCCGCTGTCGGACAGGGAGCCACCTTCGGTCAGACTGATCGGCGACGAGTCGCCGAATTTCCCCGACACACCGCTGCCCACTTCCTCCGTGCTCGAGTCTTTCAACACCACCGTCCCGTTCTGAAACAAAAAGGCGTCCGAGTTCGCCTTTCATCCGCCTCTCCTCTCTAACGCTCTATTTCTCTTTCGAGAATGGCGCTTTTGTTGCCAGGATTATGTAATTACGTTATATCACGGGGTTACGTTTACTACGTTGAGAAGTAAACGTATAAGAATGATGAAGATCGGGGAAAATTTTAACGGTTCAAGGTAATGAATCGTGCGAATAATTTGTTTGTTGATGATGTTGTTGTTGATGATGAAGAGCGTAGTTAATCGTAGCTACTATTAAATATCGTTCGAAATATATTTGAAATAAATTTACAATTTCTTCAGAAATTTTAATCGATTAATTTTTCAACATACTCGTTCGTTTATTAAATTTAATCGTTTTTGGTTAATTCGAATTAAAATTGGAACGGGATCGAAGGAGTAACACAAATTATCTTTGGTTCCGCGATCGATCGCGGAGAAAATCACGAAAGGATGTGCTTAAACCGTGCCACTGATTAGATCACGGGACGCTGATAGGTATAAATACACCCCGGGAGAATACGATATCGAATATTGCATAATCCAGTGTTGGTTATTGCCGGCGGGCAACCGGAAGGCATATAAGACGATTATATACAAAGGAAGAAGGGGGCGGAGATCGAGAAAGAAAGGAAGCAGATAGAGAGAGGCGTATATTGTCTACTGTTTCTCCCTGAAATTTTAAAATTTTTCAAGACGAAAATCAATATATATTTGACGCGAATGTTCGATAAAAATTTTCGTCAATGAGAGAGACGTCAAGTATACGCGTTTGGGTTGAGGTGAACGATTTATTAGGGTTGTTACATATCACGTGTTTTTGACCTGGAATCAATAAATCCTAGAAGAGACGTGGGTTACTTAAATGTTCTTAACTGTGATTCCTCTTAACTTTGCGATTGACTTTGACGAGGGATTTCTTCAACAGAAAAAAAAAAAATGATATTTTCTTTTTTTATAGTAAAAAATTTCTTACAAATTCGATATTCTTTGTATCGTGTCGGGAATTTCATTGACAACCCCTATCAATCTCGACACGTATCGTACATAACGTAGAAACGAATCCAACTAAGAAAGAACAGACAACGAAACGAAGAAAGAAAGAAAAGTATTATTCCCACGACACGAAACATTGATATCGGACGGAGTCAATGGTAATAACATTCAAAAAGAAAAAAAAGAAGAAGAAGAAGACGAAAAAGAAGAAAAGAGAAAAATAGGGTGCGGAGGATTGCGAAACAAGGATGAAGACACGAGAGAAAGAAGGGGAGAGGAGAGGAAGGGGTGGAAGAGGCGAGGAGAAGAGGGGGTGGGCGAAAGAGAGGGTTGGTTTAGGCTGTTGCAGCGACGAGGGAACGGGGAGGGAGGGAGGGAGGCTCCGGTAATGAAAAGCGCGATCCGCATACCAAGTAGCAACCTTCAACCTAACCTATATATAAGTCGGTATACTCTTGTATAACGGATAGTAGGTACGAAGTGAGTCTCGAAGTCGGAATCCACGTTGCCCGAAGGACCAATCACGTAGAAGAAAACTGCGAGAATTCCTTATTTCCGGTCTAGTAGGGCGGCCCGGTAACAGGGCCATATCACCCTCATCTTCCTCTCTCTCTCTTTCTTTCTTTCTTTCTCTGATTCTGGCACGACTAACCTTGGAATATATCGCGTGTCATCGTGGCGGATGGAGGGTTAGGTCGAACGTTTTTTTTTTTTTTTTTTTTTTTTTTTTTGGAAGTGCGAGGTATGGATGAAAACGGTTCGATTTCGTTTCCAGCCAGCGATGGAGTTTGCTTCGAGTTCGTTTTGTAAGTAGGTGACGGGCATTCGAGTTCTTCACGGGGATACTTGATGACCTCTGGCTCTGCTGCAATCTTTTTTCGAATCGTGTTGCGAATCGTGATTGTATGCAGAGTTTTTATTTTCTGATCTCTTCGAGCGCATATGTATACGTTTTACGTAGTTTCTTTTTCTAAATTAGAATTATTGTATGTAATTAAGATTTATTGGAGAATCTCTTAATAGTTAAAAAAAGATTGCGTAAAAGCGAAAGCATATATTTTATACATTATTTCGACGATCAAATTACGATAAATATCGCAAAACGTTCCCTTCGAACGATTAATTATTTTTGCGTTTTCTCGTGAACGAGGTTAGGTTCGATATTTCACTTTGATATATAGCACAGAATGTATAAACTCGCATCAAAGCTGTGTATCGAGCTGTCCGTCGAGCTTACGAATTGTTTCTATTCGATCTTATAATTAGACCCATCTAATTCGATCACGGCTTATAATTAGGACTTGGCGACGGGAATGAAACTAATGTAACGATCTAAAGGGCAAGTGGATCAAGGAGGGAAAGAGAGAGAGACGCGTGATAAAATCGTTCGAACGTAACGTTAGGAGGTGAACTTACGTACGTGGAAGGTTCACGCGGTTAAAAAGCGAGTCTGAGTTATTGCACGTGAAAAGTAAAACTAGGTATTACCGGGATAATTGGGCCGTGTAACGAGCCGAGCAATTTTTCCTGTCTCCTGTTAATTTGAGATATCGCGTTACATAAATTTCCGGTTTACCTCTACGATCCTCGAGTCTTTAACTTCTTCTCTTTAAACGAACTCCTCTTCCACGTGTATAGACGATGGAAATTTTATGATAAACAGCAACTCGATTTATTCCCTCTCGATTTCATATTCTCTTATTAAAAAAAAAGATCATCATAATTATACATGGTGATTTATGTACAGAAATTTATTTATTCTCCAAATTTAGAATTTTGCGATCGAATTGATTTCGATAAGATGGCTAAATGCGATAACGATCAATTTCCACAAAGATCATTAGACAAACAACCCGTTGAAGCGGTAGTGTTCATCGTGGCCGGAAGTGCTAATCAACCAAGCCGAGCCTCTTGATCTCTTCTAGCCCACGTTGAAGAAAGTGGATGCTCGTCGACACCGGTATATCCGCTGGCTACAACTGGTCAGTCGACCGTTCACCGGCAGCGATATTAAATTTGTATTTTTACGCTGATTCCACGGCCCATTCCCGTACGTGAGGCGAAAGGGAATCGTTCGGCCGATTAACGATCCGAGCTCCCCAGGGAGCTCCCGAGCTAGCCGAGACACACAGCTTCCCAACTCGCACGCTATCCTAAAACTCGTCCTTCTCCCCTCCTCCTACCCGCCCGTCTCCTATTCGCTAATATTTTATTTAATGCCTATCAAAATTTATGGATTTCTCTCGGTCTCGGGAATTTAACGTTTTTGTCTCGTTCGTGGTTAAAAACAATGCGGGTTCGATTCTGATCGAGGATTAAATAATGTATCGTAAGTGGTGTCTTGGAAAAGGAATTTTCCAAAGGTTTTTCTTTTTTTTTCTATTCGATGGTTTAAAATAAATAGGAGAGAGAGGGATTGAAATCGTGTTCGAGGGGATGGGATATTTGTGCCCTGGTGGAGGAAATCGTTGCGATCCAATGAAAATTCAAAAATCACGATTCGAAAGGAAAATAATATCGAGATAAAAATTGATTACAAGATTGCGATTAATCTTTTCGAATAATTCACCATCGAAATAAACACAAGTGGAACTATTCCATATCTCGAATCATCCCCAATTTGATTTTATCGCTCCAATCGGAATTCCTTCTTCCATTATCCGTTGCTCTCCTTCCCCCAAGAAGCGATCGCTTTTCTTCTCAAAAAGAAAGACGAAGGCGAGTACTTTGTAACGCTGTTCCTCGGTAAAGGGTCGGAAATAATAGGAGAAAGAAAGACGTAACATGGTGTGCATGAAATTATCCCCACGAGTGTCGTAGATCGACGAAACCGAGCGGATTATTCCGTCTTGACGGGACTTTGAATACTCGCGGAACGGAAACGGAGATGGCTGGCGGAAGAAACGGTTGCAAGAACGCTGCTAACCTTTCGCGGGGGTTGCTAGGAGCAGCTTGGCTTTGTTAGGGTGAAAATATCGTGTCGCGGCCCATACGTCTTCCCGACAGGCGAAATAAGCGCGGGGACAATTGGAAATTGCCAAGGTTAACTCGTGTTGCTTTTTCGTTTAGTGGATGGTAGCGGATGTTTGCCTCGTTTAATGAAGATTTGGTTGAAAGGAAAAATAGAGAAAAGAAGTGAATCGATAGAGAAATAGTGGAAAAGAAGATAAATACAAATAATTCTAATTATTGGTTATAGGAATCCGTGCTTGTAGACCCCGGATCGGGGTCCTCATATCTCGTGCCAAGGCTTCTCTCGATTTCTCCGTGTCACCCTCTTCTATTTCGTTCTATATGAAGAAACTTAAAAACAACTCGCTTAATAAACGTAAATTTTCGAAGAAGGAGAAGAAGAAGAGGAGGGGGACTATATAAATAGCGATACTTTGAGGAAGGAGGCGGGAAGAGGGGCAAGACGAGGTCAGATTAGAGGGTACGTTTGACAGATGACACTTGTCGATATCGTGTTTCGGTTAAACGCCACCACATCCCCCTATTTCCGCCCATATCCGTCTTGCATTTGCATATAGAGTAAATCTCGGTCTCGCGCCTGGCTTCCACGCTTTTATGGACTTAAGGAGAAAAGTAGCTCGAGGTGAAGCAGGTGGCAGGTTTGTTATCACGACTTCCGATTGGCCTGGCCGTGTTCCGCTTGTCAGAGAAACGTGCCACCCACCCCGCGATATTTCCACGTCTACGTCTCTCATTTTTTTTCTTCCCTCCTCCCCGTTACGCGATTAGAATAACTGGTTCCGCCTGATTGCTCGCCTTATTACTCGACCCCTGAACTTCGATTCTTGTTGTTCCCTTTGCACGCTTAATTGTTTCGCTGAATGCAAATGTATATGGATTGAAGCGATAAAATTTTTAATCTCAAAAACATTCTCTTGAAAAATTAATAGTAATGAAATAATCGATCGAGAAAAATTTTGAAAATTCTGGAATCCGTAATAAAACTTTTTTTTTTTAGATGCACGTAAAAAAGCAATAATTCGTATCATATAATTTTTCAATCTCTTCGAGAGGAAAGGCTTCATCTTCGGATTTTACCTCTACAAGGAAAGAAAGAAAAAACAGAGAGTAGGAGAAGAAGGTTTCGCGCGAAGCAAAAGACGAGCCAATAAACATGATTCGCCTTATAATCTCGTCTTCCTTAAGAGAGCCATATCCCTAGAGTTCTTCCGCTCTCAGCCAATCTAAGCGGGGAAATGGTTTTATGCACACAAGTGATGCCCACGGGAACCGTTACCCCGTCCAAGGACGTTGAATAATTGCTGCCAGCTATCTAACCGATTGAAAATCAAGGATATCGTGGGAATATCGCCTAAACGATTTCGTTCTTTCAACCGTCGATGGATATTAACACCGGATGCGATTCCTCAAAAATTGCAGAAATAATTCTGTATCCCCTCTCTCTCTTCCTTCCTTTCTTCTCTTCTCTCTTCTTTTAAATTTCAAGAAAGAAAAAGAAAATCGAAAAATCATAAATTTACGACGATTCGCAATCTCAAAATCGAAAAATGAAAATTCATCCGTATGTGAAGCAATTTTCATCCATCTCAGGGATGGAAGAATAGGATGCTTGCGCATCGTGGAGTTTCGTGGAAACGATAATAGGCATGATAGAAAATGAAGAGGAGGAGGAGGAGGATCGAAAGGACCGAAGGTTGGACCCGAGAATAACCATTATCCAAGCGAAGGACGTGGATCACGATGCAAAACGATCGATCGGCCGCGCACTTAGCGGCCCTTGTCGGCCCTCACGATTCCTCTCTTTTAGCCGTCTTCTCAACGTCTCCTCTAATCGTCACATACGTACACGTGCATACGGTAATGGAATCGAACAATATTATCCATCGTCGCTCGTAACGGAATGCGATTTTCTAACCGATCCAACGAGGTAACTTTGCCCTTTTGTACGTGTGTTATGGATGAGATACGATCATTTAACGTGAATTTTAACGCGAAGATTATACGTGTCTTATCTTATAAAGGATTGAAGAGAAATAACGTAAAAAATGGTAAAGTGAATTTGGTAATGATTCTCGAGACGAGAACCAGATGAAATAAAAACTTTACGATATATTCCCCGCTTTAGCGAAATTACTCTTCAACGCGGCATTGAAAAATTTTATTGTCCAACCATTTTCCACGATTATCGGCCTCGACTCATTCCCTCGGCGCTTACAACGCGTTATCGAATGAATAGGACTCTAAAAATGGAAGTTTTCTAAGAACGATTTGTCGTATCCATAAAAGTAAGAAGAAGGTCACTGGGAATGGGAAATAGACGAGGCGAAGTTAATTTGATCGAGCAAAAAATATTTTTCAATCGTACAATTTCGAGTTTGGTAGAATATTTTTTTAATCCTTCAAAACGAGTAACGAAACCTATTCCTCCCGAATAATTTGGATTCGTGTTTCTTAAAATATATTTTGTTATCTTACCTGACAACTGATGTCTTGTTTCTCGGACAACAACCTTGCGACGTGACGAACTGACGAAGCAACCTCCGAAGTGGCTCCTGCCTGTAGGGCCACGTCCAAAACTGCAAGCGTGTCCTTATCCCTCCGTAAAGCGCACTGAAGCTCCGACAAACGTATACTGAACTGTTGGACGGCTTGCAGAGCGCACAATTGTTGATTGCCTCTGCAAAATACGGTTCAGCCAAGGTTATCGTGGGCAATAATATCGAGGATAGGATTTGCTTAAAGTACGATACTCGATCAAAAACTCGTGGCCTAGATTATTCTTTGTATATGTTGGATCGAATTGTATAATCGTTCCAATTAACGATTTCTATGACGAATTTCGAAAAATTTTGGCAGATAAAACGCAAATGAGAACGTGAACTGGTTCCTGAAGTTAAATGAGTTATTTTTTAAATGATAGAATTGAGTCGTTGAAACAGATAAAACAGAAAGTTCGAAACCTTCATAAATATGTATACGACAAAGAAAATAATTTGTAAATATCGAACAAATGTTGCACGAAAAAATATTATGTATATGAATCGATCAATTGTTAAAATAGATATGAATTTGATAATTTATCGAAAAAAAAACCTACTTTTCTCGATGCAATCGATGTTCCACAAACATAGATTATTTCGAGTTCTCGGAATCGGTGAAAGCGAGCCACGAAATTGAATGGAAAAATCGCGAGACGGGTCAACACAATAAAAAGTGGAACGAGGGCGAAAGCCTCTTGGCAAACAGTAAGACGTCAAATTATTAGCGGATCTCCCCGATGACGGTATCGGCAAATAAGAAACACTTTAGGTCGATCCTCGTGGCCCTAGGCTCGCGCCATCCAATGAAACCAAGAAAAATGGTTTTCCACATCGACGTGCGAAAGAATTTCTCTTCTTTTAACGAGAAAGAAAGAAAGAAAAAAGAAGAAAGGAACGTTCGTTTAAAATTTTAAAAACGACAAAATAGAGAAGAAAATGGCCATATTGGAAAAATGAAGCGTAACACCGGTCGATTTGTACGTTATAGAGAAGAGTCGCGTGCGCTCGTGCAAAGAATAGAAATTCCTGGGGAGAGCGTCCGAGGGATAGGATTGACCTTTGTAAAAGCCGAGTGGGTCACTGGTAAACCCCTTTGCATGGGTCAGAACCCCTATCAGACGGGGGAATCAAGTGCTCATACGGCAATTAAAACGCGCGTGGTGGCCAACCACCACGTGCCTCTCGCTTCGAACACGTATCAATTTCAAGCTTCGTGATTCGCTTGACTCGCTATTTATAATACGTCTACGTGTTTCAATATACATTTCAATTGAAATTTTCGAGACGATTATATGCTTGAGTTATTTAATTTTTCGAATTATAGATTATTCTTTCTTCGGTGAGAATCGATTAAAATTTAGTAAAAATTTTCGCGCGACCATGATCTGCGATTTACTTTTTTATATGGTAACAACAGTCGTTTCTTTGGGCACGCGATCGATTTAGAAACAGTCCAAGATTAAACTTGGCGATCCCGGCTAAAACTAGTAATCCCGTGACACGGGTCGAAATCCCAAAGATTCGAGCCCTCGTTGCCTACGGTGTCCATGGTTCCCGCTGTGTTTGCTTTCGAGGCTTCATTGCCTCTCATAATATTTGCCCAACGTCACACGACCGGCCAGCGAACGGTCAGTCAATGATCCTAAACCAGCTATTCCACGCGCTCTACGAAACTCGATAACGTTCGTATCCTGCCTCGAAAGGGAAAGAAACTGTAAGGGACAAGAGATCTCGAACGATTGTATTGTATATTGTCGTTAATTATCATTTGTTGTTACTCACTTTTGAAAGGTTTCATCCCAGACGCGATACAGATCCGCCACACCATCCTTGAGCGCCGTGAAGATCAACGAGGCGGAGTTACCTAGATCGGTGATCAGCCTGTGCGTCGAGACGTTCAACGCCAGCATAGCCGCCTTGCGATCCCTCAACGCTGCCAGTTCGGCCTAGAGCATTAAATATACATTTTTAGTGGTTACCTTCTTCGGCTAACTCAAACGAATTGCCCCGCTCTTTGCGTTGGGGGGCTCGCTTTGGGGTTGCGGGTGATGTATAAACTGGTCACAGTAGTTGTACAACCGTACAACTTACGATACGAAATATACTTTGTCGTTCTTGTAGAAAATTTTATTGAATAATTGACGAATAATTGAGTATTGAGAATTTGGTAGTTTAACATTTTTTTATTTTAAAAAGAAAGAAGCGTTAAAATTCGTATCGAGAAGAAGAAGTGACCTAGGTCCGGAGGAGATACATCACGAACTCCATTTTGACGTATATCGAGAGCAGAGTCCGGCATCAAGGGCGAAATAAACGTAAGTTTATCAGGAAGAACATAACCGAACTATAAGGGTTGGAAGAGAGCAAGGTAGACGATGGAGTAACCACGTCACGTTGTCACGTCTCTCCTTCGTCCTACTGCAGGAGGCGACCGACGAGGGCCGCATAAATAAACCCAGCTTTACGACGCAGCCCGTAACAGAACGAAAACGAGAGCCCCTCCGCTTCGTCCACACCCTCTCTCTCTCTCTCTTTCTCTCCTCTCCCCTCTATTTCTCCCTCGCCCACCACCACCCCGCGTCATTTCTCTCGCGTGACGAGCAGCCACGGTTCGGGAGGAGATCGTAAACCTGCTCTCCTTGCGGTCATCGCGCGTCTCGACATCCCCTTTCCACCTTACTTTCCACTTTCGTGTACCATCGAGTAATTTCTGTCGTCGTAACGACGGACTTTACTACTGTTTCCTTCTCTTGCGTTTGTGTCTCGCGCCGATCTTCTCCTTTCGAATTCTCGCCAATCGGATTCTTCAGAATTTTCTTCTTCTCTCTTTTTCTTTTTGGACTTGTCGAGAAGGAAACGAGGTAATTGATTTTGAAAGATATACTTCGTTTCGACCAGAGGAAGGGATAAGAATGATTCTATAATTTTACAACTTGCAACTTCGTTAACTTAAAAAGAAGTAATTTTAACAGAATGATTTTTACGAAATAAAATATAGTATCACGAGTGACAAATATAGGGTAGCAGATAGGGATAAAAAGGCGCGTTGCTCTCGTTCGAGATTTCCATCGCCCTCCATCAATCAAAGGATCTTCTCGACTGCAACGGGAAATCATAAAGACCGTGATGTCACTGATACGATTTGAGGTCGAGATTAGCTTCGTACGTCGCATTTTATATTCCATTTGTTACGACCAACGTGATTTATCATTACCATTCCCTTTATCTTATCCCCAATATTCTTTACAGAAAACTTGCCATCTCGTGGATACGAGTCGCATCTCTTTTCTTCTCTCTTTCAAAAAAAAAAAAACAAAATCGTAATTTTTCCAACATTCCACGCCTCCTTTTCGAAAGAAAAACTTCGAAATCGAAACTCTCTCTTCTTTAACCGCACCTCCTCCAACCTTTCCTCGATCCCTCCTTCTCATCGTAAAACTCGCACATCGAATCGATATTCTTCGCGGCTTCCCCGCTAATCGATGCAAATCCGTGCACGAGCAAACGACGGATACAGCCGCGATTCCGGGCACGCTATCGAGGAGGTCAGACGCGTGAAAAGCGGCGGTTCACGCGCGTGAGGAATCCGCACCGTCTCCGCCTCTGCGAGAAGAGAGAGAGAGAGAGAGAGAGAGAGAGAGAGAGAGGCGTGCGCGACGAAGAAGGGGGAAAAGAGAAAGAGAAACGCTTTCGTCCGACAGCGGTCGCGACGAAAAGTGGCTGGCATTGATATTCCGGGCGCATGGCGAACACAGAAGCACCAGATCCGCGGCCGTTCCCCTCTTTTC